TAATCCGAACATCGTGCCTAACCTCAACTAGAACTTGCCGTCATACTATTCAGAGTATGAGTGATACGGACATATGTTTGTTGAACTTTTGTAAGACAAACAACTGGATCGTCATGAGGACCCATTTTCTTCATAAGCGTATTCCCTAAACCAATTAGACGTCCCACTGAAAGCTTAAACACCTTGCTGGATCATGTCCTCATCAACCGTAGCTACTGCACTTGGTCTGACCATCATATAACCGTAGGAGAATTTAGTCAAAAATATTAGCCATGTTGCATTGACGCCGTTTGGCTAAAACGTACCAGCTGCTCGATGTTAACAGTTTACTAAAACATAACGAAGCGGTGAGGTGAGTCTACTGAAACGAAAGAAAATTACTTGATTTTCACACTTCCTCCCCAATCATGAAGTGGTAATATCCATAAAATTTGCAAAAACTTCAAAGAAAGCATCATTAATCAGCAATAAACGTAGATGGGGTCCGGAAGAGAACAGACAACGTGTAACGGACTACGAAGAAGACTATGGCCCAGAGAGTGCAAAGGAAAAACGCAAAGAAGGAGTACCTGCAACACTCAAAGCACACTCGAAGGCAGCTCATCGCTTTCTTGTCGCGGCAGTCAATCAGAAATATAAGGGACAATGAATCAAGAAAATCGACACGGCAGCCAAAAGGGTCACTGATAAACAGCGTTCAAATGAGTGTGATATTAATCTGGTAAGCAGGGGAATCGGTCTGTCCTTATCCAAGACACTAAAAATGTCCCACTGGCAGCTGAACATTTCCAAATGCTGCTAAACGGCTGCTTTCCACATTCGTCATTCTGACCCGTTAATTATTTGCCACACTAACGGTGAATTCAGATCCATCCACAAGACCAGTAATCGAAAAATTCTTGTTACCTTCAAGATGAAAAAAGTCTGCGGGGTAAAATTCCTCCAGAGTTAACCAAGAAAGTAGAAACGGCAATGGTTGGAATGTTCCATGACCTGCTTCATCAAACTTTGAACTACAAACATTTCCACAGAGAATGAAAGTGTGGAGTAGTTGTTCCAATATTTAATGGGGGTCAGGTGACCGAGTATTCCAATATCACACCAGTACCAACTAACTGGAAAAATTTTCTCCTGGATTATCCTGAAAAGGGTGAGACAGGCAAATGATAGAAGACCGCCAAAATCGAGCGGAAAGGGGAAATT